CCCCCCCCCCCCCACGGCCTTGTTTTCTGTGATGCCAGCACCCCTTGGACAAGGTCCCTGCCCAAGGGCTGGGCTGGGGCCGGTGCCTCTAATGACTTTTGCCCTACCCCAATTAGTGCCCTCTGGGGGCTAGGTTGGGCCTGTGCTTTATGTAGGGGCAAGCCCCCTGCCCCTGCTTCACCTAGTTCCCCTTGTGCCCAGGGGCTCCCACTATGCCTCAGTGCTGGCCCCCTCCCCTTGTCCTCCATTCTCCATCCCCACTCCCCCTGTGGGGGGCCTGTATCTCCCAAGGCCAAGATGGGGATTTAGAGGAGTTTATGACAGAGCTCAGGAATTTGGCCGGGGGGGGGGTGGGGGTCAAGTGACAGCTCCTTGGCAGCCCTGTCCCAGAGGGGCTCTGGACTTTAAAGGCCCAAGGCAGGCGCTCCCGGGGGAGACGGCACTGCACGGGGGATCCTGCCGCAGCCGCAACCATGCCTGAGCCACAGAAAGCTGGTAAGGGGGCAGGGCGTGGGGGCCAGGGGCAGCTGGGTGCCCTGGGGCAGCAGGTGCCTGGGCTGTCAGTTGAGGGGGGTGGGTTGTACTTACTGGGTCCCTCAGCCTCCTGCTGCGCCCTTGGCATTAAAACTGTCTCTGTGCCCCCTCTCAGGCAGGTGGACACCTCAGGGGGCCACTTTGCAGCAGGGTGAGGGGCAAATACCCCGCCCCCCCCCGGCAACTGCACAGGGCATATCCCCAGCATGGGAGGAATTGTAACAGGGCAGGGGCAAATCATCACAGGAGGGAGGGAAATAGCAAAGGGCGGGAAAGGATGGAGGCAGAGATCATGTGTGTGTGGCATGGGGTAGGTACTGAGGAGCATTGAAAAGGGCTTTGGGGTTCAGTCACCTGGCATGGGGCTGGCACAGGCAGAGGAGGCACCCAGTGTGTGAGGGGCTGATGCCCCTTGAGTGAAGGGTGCCCAGGCAGCAGTGCCCTGGGCGGGGTGGGGCTGGCTGTGCCAGGGCGTAGTGGGGGAGGAGAATCCAAGTCTGGGTCCTTTGTGGGGGGGCAGTTGGGATGGGAGCCAGCCCTTCCGCTGCCCCATGCCAGTGTCTCGGGTGTTGTGGGCTTCCAGCCAGGCTGGGCGATGGAGCACTGACAACTGGTTCAGGCAAGGCAGAATGATAGTGGGGAGAGTCAGGTGGTGGTGGGGGGAGTGTGCTGTGAAGGTTGTGGGGCAAGGGCTGGGCCTGGGGTTCAACTTGATGGCTATGCCCCTCCACCCCTGGCAAGCTCCCACCACCCTCCTGAGCCTGTGGGGAAGGCTGAGAGCTCTTGAGGCGGTGGGGGCGGCTGGAGAGCAGGGGGTGAGATGTGCTCAGGCCTGGGGGGAGGGGGCAAGTTGAGTGAGGGGGTGGTGTGGGTGTGCATATGGGAGTGAGGGTATGTTTGCACAGGTTGGAGACTGTGTGTATGTGTGCGCGCATGCATTTAAGTCTGTGTACGGTGGGGTGTGTGTGGGTGTGTGCACATGGTAAAGGGGTGAGTGTGTGTTTGTGTGTGGGGTACGGGAGTGAGACAGAGTGTGTGTGTGCTCCAGTCGGTGTGTGTGTGGAAGGGCGAATGTGTGTACACTTGAGTCAGTGTGTGTGGGGGGAGGGAGAGAGTATGTGCGTGTGTGTGTGCATATGCTTAGAGTTTATGCATTGCAAAGTTGTATGTGTGCTATATGCGTGGTTCAGGGTATCGCAAAGTGGGTGTATGTTGGTTGTGTGTGCACACTAGCACACTGCTTGTGTGTACCAAGTCATGTGGGGTATGGGAGATGTGGGCACCTTTGTGTGTAAGACTGTATGTACACACACGATTGGAGCAAAATTCTGGGTGCACTTAGCAGTTATGGGGGGGCTGCATACTGGTGTGTGTGTGTGTGGAAATATCTGTGTTATGTTGTGTCGTGTATGGGGGAAAGGGTCATATTTATACACCCATGATGTGGGCTGGGGAGGCAAATCTCTGAGCCGTGTCGAGGCCCACCCCTTGCTATGGTGCAGGGTGAGGGGGCATTTCTTGCCCTCATCCCTGTGTGCGCATGTGTGTGTGTGTGTGTGTGTGTGTGTGTGTGTGTGTGTGTGTGTGTGTGTGTGTGTGTAGGGGGGTCCTGGGAGCCCAGCCTGGCTGACATGATGATCCCAGGGTCTGGCTTCTGGTATGGGGGTCCGGTTACCACAAGGACTCCTGGCCAGGGGGCTAATTATATCTGTTCCCCCTCCCTCCCACTAGGGCACAGCGCCCCAAAATGGCAATGTGAGATGGGCCCCTGGAAAGGTCAGGCCCTAGGGAGGGCACAGAGCAGCAGATGCCTGGTGTTAAATCATCCCGTCTTCAAGACATCTTCCCCTCAAGGCCTTGGCGGAAAAGAGCACCCCCCCCGGTGTGCCAAGTCCTCACTGCTGAGTGGAATCTGGGGTCCCAACTTCATGCTGGGCACTGCAAGCCCCACCCTGACTGAGACTGGAATAGTACTAGAATGTGCCTGCCTCTGACGTGATGGTGGTTGGGGGTGATAACAGGCCTTTCACTCAGTGCTGAGATGCAGCCACCTCTGCAGTAGGAAATGGGGGAGCTGTGTATATAAGGAGTTCTTTTCCGGTGCTAAAATGCAGCCACTACAGGAGTGGGAACTGTATATATGGGGCCCCACTGGGGGTGGGGGCTGCTTACCCAGGGGTTCCCTCACCCAGCAGTGAGATGCAGCCACCTCTGATGTGGGGCCCGTTGAGGGCTGTGTATACAGTGATGCCCTCATCCAGCATAAAGATGCAGCTGCCTCTGGGGTGGGGCACAGTGGAGGGTGATTTACCCAGGAACCCTCTCACTCAGCGCAGAGATACAGCTACCTCTGGGGTGGCGTGGGGCAGACTCCAGCTGAGAGGAGCCGCACGTGGTGTGTGAAGGTGCCATCAACAGGCTGTCTTCCCGCTGGGAGCTATGAGCGGCATTTCACGCCGTGCTGGGGCCTGGGGGCCCCTTGCTGACTCCAGACGACAGCTGGGGGGCCTCACAGCCTGGCCCGTCCCAGCTGCACTCCAGCCCAGCGCTATTATGGGCTGTGAAATGATGGCTCAGCGCTCTGGCTGGGCTATATTAGGGGGTTTGGGGCCAGAGACCAGTGCTCAGCCTTATAGGGAACTGCTGGGGTGCTGATTTGGCACATAGCAGCCCTGGGGAAGTTTGGCATGGGGCAGAAACCTCCTTTCTGCTTGTGGGCCCAGTCCCCTGCAGGCTTCCCTCTGCAGTGTAGTGAAGTGACACCTCCACAGGCCCAATTAGCACCTGGGGAGAAGCATTTATACCTCGGAAGAAGCGGAACAGAGCAGGGGCTCTGGTGGGGATGTATGTCCACTGAGAAGGCAGGATTTTGAGATTTGTGGGGGACTGCAGTGAGACAAGAGGGCTGTGGTAGTGTGGGCAGTGTTGTGTACATACAGCATGCATAGGTGGGGTTTTTGTTTTGGTCGCTGTGTGTGCAGCATGTGTGTGCTGTGTTGGTGTGTGTATACAGTATACAGGTGGATACAGTGTGTGTATGCAGTAATGCTATGTGTGCGTGTATATGGGTAGTGACACATGTGATGTGTGTGTGCAGTGTGTGGAGGAAAAGCACATGTGGTGTGTGTGTGCATGCAATGTATAAGGAAAACAGCACATGTGCAGTGTGTGTTTGTGTATGTATGCTGGGTTCCAACCAGGAGGAAGGTATATGGAATCAGGGAGTGAATAGTGCCCCTCAGACTGGCAGAGACCACCCCACCAGCCCTTTATTGGTCACAAACCCACTCTCTCCTGCCAGATCTCTCAGCTGCCAGCCCCCAGCTTCAGGGCAAGCCGTGTGGTAAGGGAAGGGGAGGCAGAAGCCCTCGGGACCTGGAAGCTGAGGACTTGTCAGTGTACCAAGGCTTCATGGGATGACAGGGGGGTGACAGTTTGGTGTGATGGGAGTTCCCTGTGTGTGTGTGTGGTGCTGGGTGAAGGAGGGGAAAAGCAGTGCATATACCATGGGTGTATATGCATGCACATTATATATGTGCACAGGTATACGTGTGTGTGTGAGCGTGCACTTGGGAATCGTGTACACATATGTGTGCACATAGGTGTAGGGTGTCTGGGTGTGCATGGAGTCAGGTATAGCATATGGTAGAAGGCATTTACACGCACACAGGGGTATGTGCAGCATGTATGCCACATGCATGCCACCCCTCTGCCACACAGCCTCCCCTTTCTCCCAACAGCTGCCAAGAAAGAAGAAAAAAAGAAAGAAGAAAAGAAGAAAGAAGAGAAAAAAGTAGAAAAGAAATCGGAGAAGAAAGAAGTCCCCCAGGGTGAGAGCTGGGTCATGGTCTCAGGCTAAGGGTTCCAGGGGGTGGGCGGCATGTCAGAGGCACCCAGATGTGCTGAGAGGGGGGGAGATTTATGGTGGGTGCTGGATTTTCCAGCCTGATGCTCCTCTGATTTTTTTGCAGATGCAAAAGAGGAGCCTCCAGCTGGTAAGTGACACCAAATGGCTTCAACACACCTACCCTGGGGAATGCCCATGTTTTCCTCCAAGATATTCTAGCTTCCTCCATCCCTCCCTATATCCCAACCCTGGGACACAGCACTGATGCACAGCCCCGTCTCCTGCTATATCCCAGCCCTGGGACCCAGCATCAAGACATGGCCCTGTGCCCCGCAATATCCCAGCCCTGAGAACCAGAACTGAGACATGGCCCCGTCCCCCACTATATGCTAGCTCTGAAGCTCTGCCCTAGTGAACCTGTCTCCCTGTCTCCTGCAGATGCTGCCCCTGAAGACAAACCAGCCGAGCCTGAGGGCCTATTTATAGAGAAGCCCCAGCATGTCCTTGTGGAGACTGGTATGATCCAGGGGTGGCAGGCTGGGGTTGGCTGATGGGTTTGGAGCCTGAGGACTCCTGGGGAGGGTAAAGAGGGCTCTGTGGGGCAGAGAGGGCCCTCAGGGGAGCTCCGAGGGCTGGGGTGGGGGATTCGGGAGCTCTGGGTGGTCTTGCGTGGGGTTGGACAGGCATGGCTGTTGCAGAGGGTGGATTCTATGGGGTCAGCAGGCTCCTGGGGGGCGGTGTCAGGGTTTTGGGCTGCAGGGATGCCAGGTATCTTGGAGGGACTGGGGGCAGGTTGTGGGTCTGGGCTGTGACCTGCGTGCCCCCCACCTCCTGCCCTGCAGGGAAAGATGTGAGCATTGTCACCAAGGTAGATGGGTCCCAGATGCCGGCCAAGCCCACCATCAAGTGGTTCAAGGGGAAGTGGCTGGAGCTGGGGATCAAGAGTGGCATCCGCTTCCAATTCAAGGACAGCTATGACAAGGAGGCCAAGGTGAGACAGGGCTGGGGCCTATGGGTTGGATGGGGAGGGTCAGATTGAGGGGGCCTAGGATTTTGGGAGAGGAGAGCTCTGGGGGCATTTTCCTGTGTGTGTGTCTGTGTGTGGTGAGTTACCTCTCAGGTACAACATCCTAACACTGTGTGTATATGTGGCATGTTGGTTTCAGGGCAGTGTGCACTAATGTATGTGTGTGCACATCAGGCTTGGTGTACTCAGGGGTGTGCGCAGTGTTTCAGTGCCAGGGTGGGTATACATAGAGGAGTGCATGCATGCATGCAGTGTGTTGACGTGTACGTGGTATTTGTGTGTGCAGTGTGGCATTGGAGGGGTGTTAGTATACATATAGGGGGTAGTGTGTTGGTGCCGGGGCCGTGTGTGTGGGTGGGGTGTATGTGTGCACCCCTGTCGGCCCCACCCCAGCCCTGTGTGCTGCCCACCCAGGTATACACGTTCGAGCTGAGGATTGGCAAGGTGGTGGTTGGGGACCGCGGGGATTATCGTTGTGAGATCACCTCCAAGGACAAGTTCGACAGCTGCTCCTTCAACATTGATGTTGAGGGTGAGCAGGCTCCGAGACTGTGGACCTCCAAGGCCCCCAGCTGGGGGAGCCCACCCCTGAATTGGAGAACCCCATGCCCTCTGCTGTCCACAGCTGCCCTGAGCTGGGAACCCCTGCACCATACTTCTACATGGGACCCCCAGCCCCTCCTCGCCATCCTATGCCTGGGACCCCCCACCCAGCCCATCAGGGTCCAACCCCAACACTACAGCCTGCCCTGGAAACTAGGAACCTCACCTAGACCCTCCCATAGGGACATGTCCCATCCCCTATTATATTCCAGCCCTGAGACACAGCCCTAGCCCCCACTATATCCCAGCCCTGGGACCCCAGCAATGAGACAAGGCCCCATCTCCTGCTATATCCCCACACAATTCCAGTTCCTCTGCTACCTCTGGGGAGCCCCTCCACACCAATCCTGGCCCCACTGATGCCCAGGATGGGGCAGGCTGTCAGGGCTCATGGCACACAGGCCCAGAGCAGCCCCTCCCTCCCTCCCCCTGCGCATATCTATCTTAATGTTAGATGTTGCAGCCCCTGACTTGGGGGGGGGCATAGCTGCAGCTCCTGGTGGGGAGGTGGGGCTCTGCAGGGGAGGCTGTAATGTTGTGGAGGGACATGGTTGGGAGGGGAGTGCAGAGGAGGGAGTTATACTGCCTCTGTCTTCTCTTCTAGCCCCACGGACAGACGAGGGTGGGAACGTGCTCCAGGCTTTCAAACGCAGGTGAGTGTTTCCCACCCCCAGCCAGCTCCTGCCCCATAGCCTCCCCCCACAGTGCTCCTTGCTGGTCAGGTTGGGCCCTGCTCTGTGTTGAGGTCTGGTGCCCCATGTAATCCCTCCTTCCCATACTCTCTCCGCAGTGGGGATGCGAAGAACAATGTGGCCGGAGAGCTGGACTTCAGTGGTTTGCTAAAGAAGAGGTCAGTGCTTCTGGGAAGGTGGGGGTGGGGGGTGAGTGTGTTCCTGGACTACTTGTGTGCAAGAATGTGTGCTGGGGAGGGGGAGGGGGGGGAGATGCAATGGGGAAGTGTGTGTGTGTGTGTGTGTGTGTGTGTGTGTGTGTGTGTGTGTGTGTGTGTTGGTGGGGAGGGGGAGTTGTGTCTGCCTGTGCCTGGGACCCGTGCTGTTTAACATATTCCTAAGTGATCTGGAAAAGGGGTGAGTAGCCACTAGGCCAAATTTGCTGATGACACAAAATTATTCTAAGTGGCAAAGACCGAGGTGGACTGTGAGGAATGACAGAAGGATCTGGCAGGATTGAGCCAATGGGAAACTAAATGGCATGTGAAATTCAATGTAGATAAATGCAAAGTGGTGCACCAGGGCAAAAATAACCCAAACTCTACCTGCACCATGTGGGGCTGTACCTTAGCTGTTACTACACAGTAAAAATCTAGGAGTCTGTGGGCTAAGTGCACCGTGCTCAGCAGCAATCAAAAAGCATGTAATTCAAGTGTGGAACGGATTGCCACCAGAGGCTGCGGATGCTGACATTTTAGCTAGATTCAAGAAGGGATCGAACACATTTTTGGAGGAAAGGGGCATCAATAGCTATTGAGCATGGGAGTGAGGGGCATGGCCTCTGAATCAGAACTTTCTGGGCCTTAAATGCTGGAGGTTGCAAGTGAAAGAAGAACAGTGGGGGAAAAGGCCCTGGTCAGACCCAGTTCATTCTCTCTTCCAGTATCCACAGTCTGCCCCTATGTGACACAGGGGACTGGGCAAGATGGACCTAGGGTCTGACCTAGTAAATGGCTGTTATGTTGTTATGCTTTTGGGGGTGTGTGTGTGTGTGTGTGTGTGTGTGTTCTTATGCTTTCGGGGTGTGGGTGTGTGTGTGTGTGTAGGCAGACACGCAAATACTAGGGCCTTCCCCACCTATGCCCTTGCCCCAGTTTGCATGAGTCTGCTGGTGTCCCCTTGGTGGGGAAGGTGCCAGGTTTCCCTGATGTGCCTGTGCCCCACTGGGGTGTGTGTGTGTGTGTGTGTGTGTGTGTGTGTGTGGGAATATGCATGTATGTGTGTGTGCACATGTGTGAGGTCTCCCTGATGTGCCCATGCTCCACTGGGAGGGGGGAGGAGGGGTGTATTTGTGTGCATGTGTGAATCTTTTTGACTTGCCCATATCCTATAAGAAGGGCTGTATGTGTTTGTGTGTATGTGCGCATGTACCAGAACATGTGTGTATTTTAATGCCTGTGCCAGGCTCTCTGATCTGTCCATGCTCTGCAGGGAGGGCTGTATGCGCGTGCGCGCGTGTGTGTGTGCGTGCGTGCATGTGCAGGCATGTACTGGGCACCCTGACTGGCCCATGCCCTACAGGGAGGTACAGGTGGTGGAGGAGAAGAAGAAAAAGAAGAAGGACGACGAGGATGAATTTCCTCCTGAGATCTGGGAGCTGCTCAAGGGGGTGACCAAGAAGAGCGAGTACGAGCGCATCGCCTTCCAGTATGGCATCACTGACCTGCGTGGCATGCTCAAGCGCCTCAAAAAGGTCAAAGTCGAGGTCAAGAAGAGCGAAGGTCTGTGGAGCTGGGGGGGTGGTGAAGGCTGCAGGAACTGGGTGCAGGGTGTTGGGGTGTGGGTGAAGGGGGCTGGGCTACAGAGACTGGGGTGCTAGGCATTGAGGGAGGGGGTGGGGAATGGGGGCAGAGAGCACAGAGTGGGGGAGATAAGGGCTGGGTGGAGGCCATGGCAGGGACTGGGGTGACTGGGAGAGCTGGGGTCTGCAAGGCAAGGGTCGGGGGATAGAGACCAGGGCCTGTGGAGGGGGAGGGATGAGGAGTGAAGAGAAAAGCAGGGGGTGAGGAGCCTGAGGGGCTCTACCAGCACTCAGCCCCCCTCTTCCCCCAACTGCCCCCTCCCAGCCTTTACCAAAAAGCTAGACCCTGCCTACCAAGTGGACAAAGGCCACAAGATCAAGATGGTGCTGGAATTGAGCAACCCTGACCTGCCCATCAAGTGGTTCAAGAATGGGCAACTCATCAAGCCCAGCAGCAAGTGAGTGGGGGGGGCAAGGCTGGGGCTACTGCCATGGAGGAGTTCTGGAGTAGAGACATGTTGGGGAGCAGGCCCCAGAATCAGTGGGGGGACCTGGGTGGTCACAGCCAGAGAAGGCAATGGGGTGGACTTTAAAGGGAAGTCGGTGCTGGAGGGGCCTTGGAGAAGTGGCTCTAGGGGGCTGACAGGGGGCGTTGAGGGGCTGTTAGTGTGGGGGTCTCTGGGGGCAGTCAGGAGGCCTCTGGGGGAAGTCGAGGGGTTTCTGGGGGATCTATCTGTGTAGGGGGGTTTGTGGGTTATCTATGTTGGGGGGCAGCCGGGGGTGTGGGGAAGCTTTGGGGGCCAGACTTTTGTTGCCAGGGCCTCAGTCTTAGTCAGTTCTCCCCCTCACTGTGCCCCCCAGGTACGTGCTTGAGAACGTCGGGCTGAAGCGGATCCTGACCATCAACAAGTGCACGCTGGCTGATGATGCGGCCTATGAATGCTTGGTGGGTGAGGAGAAGTGCTGCACCGAGCTCTTCGTCAAGGGTGAGTCTGTAAGGGGAGGGAACAGATGGGGGGAACCAGTGGTGGGGGGAGCAGAGGGGGCACAGCTCCCCCGCTCAAGCTCCTTCTCTTCTCTGAGCCCACCCTTGGTGCTGACCAGGCCTTGTCCAACTGTCTGTCCTCTCTCCCCCTCCCTCCCCAACAGAACCTCCTGTGCTGATTGAAAAGGGCCTGGATGACCAGCAGGTGTTTGTGGGTGACCGCGTAGAGCTGGAGGTAGAGGTGTCCGAAGAGGGAGCCCAAGTCATGTGGTAATGTGTGCCTGTCCGTTGGTCCATTCAGCTGCCCCTGGCCCCCACTTGCTCAGCCTTCCCTGCCTTCCTGCACATAGCCTTCTTTTCTTCCTTTCATCCCTCCACATTCCCCCTCCCCCTCCACACACACTCTATCCATCCACTCATCTGTCCCTGCACATACCTCTCCTCTCCCTCATCTCTTCATCTCCTTTGTTCAGGCACAATCCTACCTAAGGAGGGGGCTGCGCTAGATGACCTCTTGAGGTCCCTTCCAGCCTGATTTTCCTGTGATCTCGGATAATGCATTTCCATTCCTCCTTTTGTCCCCGCAGCTGGTGCTCTCAGCACCAAGCCTCTGCAAGGTGCCCAGAGAACCATTATTATTACTGAAAACTTGTAAGATCTTTTCCTAATGAGAACTGGCTGATTATCCAAAGGGCTGATTACAAGCTGAGTATAGGCATTTGGGATCTTGGACTTGCAAGGAAATAAGATGAGCAAAATTCTCTAGGAACCCATCTGATATCCTGCTAGCCATCATCCAAACTGGAGGGCTGTGTCAATTGGCTAAGAACATCTGTGAGAAGGTCCCCGCCATTGGTATCAGCCCTTACTGTCCCTTGATCTCATCTTGAGCAGTCAGACACCCCCATCCCTCATTCTAATAGAAGTAGGTGAATCACAGACCAGTGGTTTCATCAGTTCCCTGCTTTGTGCTTGGTGTAGAGTACCCACAGCCAGAGAAGGGATGAGGGTTTCTCTACCAAGAGAGCAATAGGTGTGAGAGGAGGGGTTGAGAAGAGACTCACCCACTAGCATCCTACCTTCTTAATACAAGCAGCCATGGCCCCAGTAGGAAATGGGAAAGCCAGCCTTTGTATTTAAGACCCAGATGGATGGACAGACGCTTGGCAGACCAGTCCTGCATGGGTGAGAGAACCAGGAAGGACAGCTACCCAATCCAGGCCATCATGCATGTCCCTTTGTCAGGGCACATGCCCATCAGGAGACTCAAGGCAGCAGCAGACTGTTCTCACCATCCATGAAGCTCCATTCAGTGAAGTGAAGGAGCTGGAACAGGTCCTGCCAAAGGGCCTGGAGCAGTGGCTTCTACCTTGAGGGGCCAGCCCACTGCTCCATGGGGACCCACCTTAGGGACCTGAGTGTGATGGAAGAAGAGGACAACTAGGTGAAATCACTGGAATCTTAAGAGAAGAGACCCTCATCTTTCAGTCCAAAAGCTGGCCTTTCAGGGGACACTAGAGCTGTGTTCCACTGCAGAGGGTCCTACTGATGAGAAAGGACTGTGGTGAAGAGGAGGATGCAGCCATGCTTCTCTTGGGAGGCACCCCTTGCTGCCTGGCAAAGCCTTGGGACAAAAGCCCTGTGAAAGGCAGACCTTCTAGGCCAAGGACAATTGGGCAGCTCCATGGAAGAAGGAAGTGGGTTGTGGGGTGTGAAGGAGGCTGGCTGGGCTTGCATTCATGATTCCCAGCCAAAACTTAACACACTGACTTTTTCCAGGCTATATGAGGTGGTGAAAGCCAGAAGCTGAGCCCTGCCTGCAGCAGGCTGACAAAGCTATGTTCCTCAGCCACTTATTGCAGACCATGAAGCTAGCAGGGCTGAGAATTTGCAGGGGATTTGGGAGAAGCAGCGTGTGCCTATCCCCTTGGCGTGGGCACAGACAGACAGCCAGCCAGAGACCTGGCAGCCAAAGCTGAGCCTGCCCAGTGTCCTGACAGCTGGTACCCGCTGCCTCGTGTCTGGGCTTTGAAGGGAGCCACGTGAAAGCCGTCTGGAGCCCAAACATTCAGGGACATTGTCACGTTCTTTTTACAGGTGGTGGGGCAGGCTACCATTGCTGGGGTGCTGTGTTGGAAGGGTGCTGTGAGCAGTAGTGGCATGGTGGCGGGGTGCTAGCCCCAGTGAAAAATGGGGTATTCTTCCCAGCAGAGGCTTATCTTCCCCAGATGCTGCTAAAGGCATGAGCTCCACATCATACTTCTAGCTTGAACTGTTAGGATGGGACCTTCTGGACTAAGCACCAGCCCGCTGTGTCCTTAGGCCCCCATCTAGCCTGGAAATCATCCTCTGTGACTCCTTTTGCATTCCAAGTTGTGAACGACTCCCCCCATGCCCCTGCCACCATGCTATGGGAGACACGCAGACAGTGCCTGTCACTGCCATGTCAAGAAGAATGCCCATATCCTTCTGAGTATACATTGACCCTGCATATAAGTCAATCCCTGTGTTTCTGGGGTCAGTTTTAGGACAATTGACACCAGAGGCTTTATCCTCTGGCTTCTTTGGATGAGAGCTAAACAGAGAACTTGGAGCAGGCTGGATCCTGGGAGTGTTCCCCACCTGTCAGTGTCTGGGTAGGCTAATATCAGGTGTGCACAGGTTTGGAGGTGCAGGGAGCTGATCTGTGATTGTCTCTGGCATGAAGTTGAGGGGCTCTGCTTTTGGGAAACAAGGTGCCGAGTGCTAGTGTCTTCTGAGAGGCAGGCATGTCATGTCAGATGCCGCAGAGTTCAGCTCAAGGGCACTGTCCATCTGCTGTGACAGGGGGAGTGAGAAGCTTGGGTCAGTCTTTCCAGTGCAGAGCTGGAGTCTCTCTGTACCCAACCTGCAGCCTGGGAAAAGCCGTATGTGGATACAACACATCCACCATGGCCTAAGCTGTTTTTCGGTGGTTGGTACCACAAAAGATCACTTGCGTTTAGTGTTTCTGGGAAAGTGACAAGGGTACTAGCCCCCCTCTGGCCAGTTGTCTGCGTGGCTGGCCAGCCATGCTCCAACATCTGTGCATGCATCCATTCCTATGCCCTCCATCCATCCATCCATTCATCTATTCCCACATGCCCCCTTCCAACCACTGACCCATCTACCCCCACACCCTTTTCTATCCCCCCCTCCATTGCTGCTTAACCCTTCCACCTTGCTTTCCCTCTCCCCACCCATCCACCCCCTTCACACTGCTGTCCACTTCTTCTAGGATGAAGGATGGGGTGGAACTGACGCGTGACACAGGCTTGAAGTACCGGTTCAAGAAGGATGGCAAGAAGCACATCCTTATCATCAATGAGGCCAGCAAGGAGGACACCGCCCGCTACAAGGTCATGACCAATGGGGGCGAGTCCAAGGCTGACCTGGTAGTGGAAGGTACCCAGTGCAGGGGGAGAGGAAGGGGCTAGTCCAGGATGTTGGGTGGGCATGGGGTGGGGGCAGGTGAGGGGGTGGGTGAGGAGCTGAGTTGAGCTGGACAGGGCCAGGGTAGGGGGCTGGGGGCACAGGTCAGGACCTGAGGCTGGGGCAGAGAAGGGGCTGGACAAGGGGCAGAGAGATGGGGCTTGTGGGTGGCCTGTGCTCTGTCAGAGCCCCCCTGACTATCTTCCCCACCCCCAAGACAAAAAGCTGGAGGTGCTGCAGGGCATCGCAGACCTGACGGTGAAAGCCACTGAACAGGCTGTTTTCAAGTGCGAGGTGTCAGATGAGAAGGTGACGGGCAAGTGGTACAAGAATGGTGTGGAAGTCCGGCCCAGCAAGCGAATCCAGATTTCCCACTCGGGCAGGTGGGCACCGGTTGAAGGAAGCTCACAGTAGTGGAGCTGTCCCTGGCTGGGGGCACTGTTAGAGGGAAGCTTGCAGCAGTGGGGGTGTACCCAGCTGGAGGCACTGCTGTGAGTAAGCACACAATGTTGAGGGAGTCTCTAGCTGGAGGCACTGCTGTGGGGAAGTTTACAGCTGTCCCAGCCCCACATTGTTCCTGACATGGTCCCTGTGGCAGGTTCCACAAGCTGGTGATTGATGATGTGCGGCCGGAGGACGAGGGCGACTACACCTTCATCCCTGATGGCTATGCCATCTCGCTATCTGCCAAGCTCAACTTCCTGGGTGAGTGTGGGACAGAGCACTGCTGTGGGGAAGCTTGCAGCAGCTCCGTTTCTGGCTGGGGACACTGCTGTGGGGAAGCTTGCAGCATTGGGGTCCTGGTACAGACTTGGGTTGGCTTCCTCAATGCCTGAGTCTGGCTAACCCTTTCCTCTCTCCTTCAGAGATCAAGGTGGAGTACGTGCCCAAGCAAGGTGAGTCCTTCACCCTGCCTCAGGCCTGCTGGAGTGGGGCATGAGGAGGAGATGGGGCAGGCTGCCTGGTAGTCTTCCCCCCCACCTTCCTGTTCTGGTGGGGTGGAGTGTAGAGGCCAGGATGAGGGTCTGGGGGGTCAGGGATGGGATGGTTGCAGAAGGGCAAGGAGTTGTGGCACATGGCACGGATAGAAGGGACAGGAGGTCTGACCCCTCATCTCTCTCCTGCCTCCCCTCACCCCAAGAGCCCCCCAGAATCCACCTGGACACTTCAGGGAAGACGGCCGAAAACACCCTCATAGTGGTGGCTGGGAACAAGCTGCGGCTGGCTGTGCCCAGCACTGGGGAGCCAGCGCCTACCGTCACTTGGCTGAAGAGTGACCAGGTGGGCACTGGGGGCACAGCAGGGTTTGGGGGCAGGGGGGGTCTCTGTCTCTGGGAACTGTGTGTGTGTGTGTGTGTGTGTGTGTGGTGGGGGGGAGGTCGGGGGGTCATGTTACTATGAGCAGAGGGTGCCCGCTGCTCAGCCTTTGTCCCAGCAGGGCAGTTGGGGAAGGTGGGGAGGCTGGAGGTTCAGGACACAGCCTTAGTGGGGTAGTGTGAACTCAGAGGGCAAGGGGCAGGGAGTCCTTAAGTTTGGGCTGGGGGGTCCCTGTGACAGCAGATTTCCCCTCCCTCCCATCCCTCCAGCTGTTCTTGGGGTTGTGGTGAGACACCAGGGGATGGCTCCCCCCACCCTGCAGCTGACACGCTGTCCCACAGGAGTTCACAGAGAAGGAGGGCCGTGCCCACATTGAGGAGCAGAAGGAGCTGAGCAGCTTTGTGATCGAGAGTGCAGAGCGGTCAGATGAGGGCAAGTACACCATCAAGGTGGTCAACCCTGTGGGTGAGGACTCTGCCACACTCCACATCAAGGTGGTCGGTAAGAGAGGGGTTTGGGGGCACTGGCCTCTGGATAGGGGGTGTTGTCAGGTGGCACGGGGTGCTGGGTGAAGGGTCACAAGGCAGGGGGCAGGAGCTGTGATCTGGGGTCATAGGGTCACAGGGCAGGAATCCTGTGGCTCCTGGGTGTGGGGTCATAGGGATGGGGGTCACAGTGGAGCTGGGTGTGGGGTCACAGGGCAGAAGCCACAGGGGTGCTGAGCTTGGGCTTACAGAGGTGAAGAGGTCAGGGGGGTCACAGGGCCACAGGTCAGGGGTCAAGGTGTGCTGGGTATGGGGTCATGGCACAATGGGTGTTGGGTTTGGGGTCAGGGGCCACAGGTGCTGAGTTTGTGGTCAGGAGGTATTCCGTGTGGGGTCATAGGGTAGGGCTTAGGGCTTGCTGGGTGTGGGGTTGGGTCACAGGAGAGCTGGTAGTGGTTATGCATGGTGACATGTAGAGGGTGCATGGGGGTGCACTCCCTGATAGGCTGCACTCCCTGCTTAGGCAATGGGCTGGGGGCGGGGGGACAGGTGGGAGCACTGGTTGCCCCACTGTGAGTGCCGGCTAGGGAGTGGGAGCGCTGGATGAAGCACTGTGGTTGCTTCCTGGTCAGTGCAGTCGACGGTGGGGGGACCCTCCCCCCTTCCCCCCCTCCTGGTTGGTGAGATTGGCTGCAGGAGATACGCCCCCCCCCGGCCGCGGTTGCTGACTGGGCACGTGCCCCCCACTAAGGTGGCACCAGTCAAGGGGTGCTGGGTATGGGATGACAGTGCAAGGGGTTTGGGGTTTCATAAGGTAGGGGTCACAAGGATCCTGGGTGTGGGAGTACAGACAGGGGATCACGGGGGTGCTGAATGTGGATAAACAGGACAGAGGGGTCACAGGGGCTGGGTGGGGTTGCAGGGAGCCAGAGAGGGGGTCACAGGGGCTTGGTAGGGTGACCAGAGTGCCGGTATGGGGTCACAATGGTGCCTAGTGGAGTCTTGGGAGAGCTGGACAGGGGCTTCTGGTGGCATTGGCCAGAGGGGAGCTGTGTGGGGTGGAAGGGGTGAGCGTGTGGAGTCCTGGAACGCTGGTTGGGGAGGGATTCTGGGTAGAGCAGCAGGGGCTTGGCTAAGCTGTAGGGCTGCTGGCAGGGAGGCAGGGGTGATGCGGTGTTCAGGTCCTCCCCTGTGGTGGCTGGTGCCAGAATCATCTGCAGCAACTCCCTGCCTCTCTTGTAGACGTTCCTGACCCCCCTGAGGCCGTCCGCATCACCTCCGTGGGGGAGGACTGGGCTGTGCTGGTGTGGGAGCCCCCAAAATATGATGGCGGGCAGCCCATCACAGGTGAGTCCCCTTGTTTGTACATGTGGAGGTGTGTCTGCACATGTTTGTGCGTGCATGTACATGCAGGCATACATGTTCATGATACCTCTGGCCCCTGTCCTGGCTGGAGTGCAAGAAGGGCAGCCTGTGTAGTATGCATATACATGCCCCTGTGCACACATGTGTGCACACGTGCAAGAGTCTAAACATGAATGTGAGTCTTCCCTCCTGCTGCCTCCTAACACTGCCTTGATCTGGCATAGGGCCCCTGATAGAGTGGGAGGAGGGAAGGATATGTCGTGTGTGTGTGTGTGTGTGCATGCACGCGTGTGTGCTTGCATGTGTGTGAGAGGGTGGGGTGTGTGTTCTTGTGCTTGTGAGAGAGAACTCTTACCCCTAGGGTTGCCTCCCAGAGCCCTCATGGAGAAGGAAGGCAGGATCTGATCTCATAGATTTCATAGACATTAGGGCTGGAAGGGACCTCAGAAGATCATTGAGTCCAGCCCCCCGCCCAAAGGGCAGGAAGTCAGCTGGGGTCATAGGATCCCAGCAAGATAAGCATCCAGTTTCATCTTGAAGGTGTTCAATGAAGGCGCTTGAACCACCTCCGGTGGCAGGCTGTTCCAGACCTTGGGGGCTTGGACAGTAAAGAAGTTCTTCCTTATGTCCAGCCTGAAACGATCTTGAAGTAGTTTGTGACCATTTGACCTCGTCATCCCTTGGGGCGCTCTGGTGAACAAACGTTCCCCCAGATGCTGGTGGTCACCCCTGATAAACTTGTAGGTGGCCATCAGATCACCCCTGAGCCTGCGCTTTTCCAGGCTAAAGAGCCCCAGGGCTCTCAGCCTGTCATCGTAGGGTCTGCTTCCCTGACCTCTGATCATGCGTGTGGCGCTTCTCTGGACTCTCTCAAGCTTCTCCACATCCTTTTTGAATTGTGGAGCCCAAAACTGGACACAGTACTCCAGCTGCGGCCTCACTAAGGCCGAGTACAGGGGGAGAATGACGTCCCGGGATTTGCTTGAGAGACGTCCCGGGATTTGCTTGAGACGTCCCGGGATTTGCTTGAGATCATCGAGTCTGACCCCCTGCATAGGCAGGGAAGAGTGCTGGGTG